CGTCGAAGATGTGAAGGTCTGTACGACTACCAAGCATGATGCTTCCCCAAACGAGAACACAGCGACCTCCATACCTGTCCCTTTCAATGATGTGCGAGGAATGATTGCGGCTTCCCCGCTCTCTCCAGATGAGTATGCGATGAGAATCGCTACTCAAACTGAATCTGCTCTCATCTGTAAAGAGTACTCGTCCCCATTCATTGTCTCTCCAATTCCGGTGTTCCCGGCACCACAGAGAACGCCTTCTCCGATGGGCAGGCGTTAAAGGTACAAACCGTACAGGGCGTCGTGCAAACAGACCCCCACCGTGCAGTCTTCTGGCCACGGTAAAACGCGATATCGGTCATCCAGTCGCCTGTGTCGTGTGTCTAGCGATTTCTCCCGCTGTCTGCCGCCTGTTTCTTCTGGCCTGTAAGACAATGTACCGGTCATCTGCGGGTGTGGTTCCTCGTGGACGACCACTACTGAACCTCCGGATAGCTGTTCCTGTAGTTTGAAATTGTCTCCAAAGTCGTGAAACGATGCTGTGAGCAATCCGAACTCTGCAGCCACACTTGTCACACTGCGGCCTTCCTCCAACTTCCCAATGATTCGACCTCGGGTAAAAGCATCCAGATGTCGTCTAACAGATTGATTATTCGCCATTTCTCGCTGAGGCAGCAACTCGGTGTGATTTTAACTGCTATACGGCGTGCAATCTCTTTGCCAGAAATACTGATCTTACACCGACAACATGCTTTATATTACTCAGACACTCCCCCATTACGTCTACCTGCATATCTGCGCATGTGCTACCGTACATCACCTTACTTAATGTCCTGATTGGTCTTTCTGTCTGCTCTGCCTCTTCGTTCAGCTGATATGCTAATTTTTCGACTTCGTCCTTAATTTTTGCACACCAGTGTATATATATATATTGTTCAAATTTTCAATAGTTAATAAAATACTTTTTATTGATCCATTCAAGTTCAAATACATTTTTTAAACTTGCAGTGGATGACACATGATGTTTATACAGTTTTTTCAAATATTAATTCATTAATTAAGTTTCGTTTTAAAATTTTAAATTTATTCTGTGTTATTTCTGACGATGTTAGAACTTTCTGCAACAGATGGCGCCAGTAGTTTTTCTAAGGAACTTTTTCTTGGCTTATTTTTTGAAACTTATAGTTGATGACACTTGACGTTGAAACAGGTTTTTCAAATATTAATTAAATTTAATTACCTAAAATAAAATTTTTCTTTGCTGACCTCAGTAAGAATTGACTTAATTTTTTTGTATTACTAGTTAAATTTAATTCATACTGCCTCTATTTTCCAAAAATGCCTAGATACTAATTTTTCATGTCAACTGTAAAGAAAGCACAATGTTTTCATTCATTAGAATATTTTGTGAATAGCTTTTTGATAGATAAACATTTTGTGGTAATCACTGTTTTTTTTCTAACAATATTTTTATGCATTTAGGATAATTCCCACTGAAATGCTAAGTATTTATGGTATAGAATCACCATATTCTTCGCTCTTTGAAACTAGAGAGAATCGTCGTGTTTCAAAATTTTAATTTCTTTTCCTTCCAGGAATTTTTCGGTCTATAAAAAATGTTTGGTAAAAAATAATGTAAACGTGGGAAAAGTTACAGTGTAATTTAGCTAGATAATACAAGGAATTTTGATTAATAAAATATATTAAAAAGAACACTATATGTATAAATTTTCTTAATACAACAATTCAGGTTATAACAGCAGCATAAGAAGAAATTTTACTCCTACAAACTATAAAATGAAATTCTCTCCTTACAATCTTCAACAATTCATTAAGTACTTCTGGTAATGTCCTACTTACGACAGTAAACAAAACACGTGATTCATCTTTGTTTAGATTGTAGAACATTCGTGTGTGTGTGTGTGAGAGAGAGAGAGAGAGAACCGCTTTAAGAACGGCCGAAGTAAATAACTTCCCTGAAAACAATTGGCGTTTCTTCAACAGTTACAACATATGAATTCTTTTATATTTTAAATACAAAACTCTGGCATCATTTCTATCAAATTAAATAGCTCTCAACCACGAATGTTAGATCAGATGAAAACTTGCTAAGGTTTTTCTTTTTTTTTTTGCTTCATAAAAATCTGTAAGTAAATAAAAGAAGTTTCTGGGAAATTAGGTACACTGTTGAGGAAGATGTACCAACAAAAAATTAATAGAGAAAAAAAAGCTCCTGTCAAATATATTGCTTAAAATGAATGTAAATTGGTAGTTTCATTAAAGATTTTTTCGTAATGTGTGGAAGCAAGATATTCAATGACAGATAGTATGTACTTCCTACATAAAAATGACAGAAAAGGCTGTAAAAAAAATAACTATATTTCTTAGATTTTAAAACTTTTTATTAAAATATCTTGCGCATTTTTAAAAGATTGTAATGTGATCCATACTGCCTTGTTCATCCTGTTTATGGTTCGTAAAGGAAATTGTTTTTACAATGGTTAATACACACACACATACTAATAGTATTCTTTTTAATACATATTTTTAGTTAAACAGCTTTCTTTTTAAATATTTTTCATTCATCATATTTCAAACAAGCATTTGTTATTTTTTTAAAGTACGCTGCTCTATAATTAACTATTTAAAATGGGTGTTAGCTATAGAATTTATGAAACTGAAATGAATTTTTTTATCGATTGGAGCCTAATAATAAGATAATCCAGTCAAAACAATTTTACAGTAAAAAATAACAAAAATGATAATTGTGAGCCTAAGAAAAAATAAAAAAAATATATTCTCAATAAAGTATACCTTTATAAGCTCAGCTCCATATTTAATTTGACCAAGTTTATATGTCTTTACAAAAGAAACTTATCATCAGTACTTTTTTCAAGTATCAGCAAATGCAGTCATTTTTATAGTATTTTTTCCCAAAATATTTTTTACTTATAAAAAAAAACTACATATGTAAACTATATTCATAAAGATATTCCACAGCGCTTTCACAGAGTTTATATTTTAAAGCTAAGTCAAAAACTACAAATTCAAATCAAACATAACATCTTAACTCGAGTAAATAACTAGAGAAAGATCCTTCTTGCATCATTTTTTCTTCCGAATTTTTTCTACGGATTTCTTGCGTAAAGTGTTTTAATTAATAATATCTACTATAATAATATCTTATATATCTTAATAATATCTTACTATAGTTAACTCATTATACATCCCTGTATATATACGCACACACCCTCAAATTGTATCCTTTTAATGTTCTAAATAAATATTGTATATATACAAGATCAGGACACAAAAAGCAAAATATTCTTTTTATGTAATGCTAACTCAACGGGTTCATTTTATCTGTAATAAATAGTTCGAGCCTTCTGAGAGAAGAGACATATGAGAGTCATTCTACTGAACATCGAAGAGTTGAGTCATTGAACTCAGATGATTGTCATTCTTATAGCCCATCTCGTGTTGAGTAAAAAGAAAGTAGAATGGCTTTCGTCTTTTGATTGGAACTTTTAATCAGAATGATAATGTGTCATTAAAACACGAAAAACCTAGCTGTTTATCAAGATTTAGATACATCATATACATTGGCTGAATATTAATGAATAGAATATATATATATATATATATATATATATATATATATATATATATATATATATATATATATATATATAAAAGCTTTCAACTCTTTTAGGTAAAAAAAGTAAAAAGACATTTTGAACAATAGCGCTTCCTTTTTTTTTCTTTAAAATTTGATGAAAATAATTTATTTTATAATATGAGAGAGAATATTTTTTAACAGAAAGTCTTGTAATAGCTTTTTGTTTTAGAGGAAGAAATAAAAAAAACTGATTTGGTGTTTCCCATGCATTCAGTATCTTTATGAAGATGGTTAGAGTAATCTCGGATAAAATGAAATAAACTAATAGAGCATTTTTTTTATAAATGTAGATCATTCTCTTAAAAAACGTGAAGTGCTATTTATACCAAAAAATACGAATGCAGAAAAAATTGAAAAACGTATATATTACAGAAAATGCACAATACAAATGCTCCAAATAGTTAAAAATATCAATGATGACAATAGTAAACAATACGAATGAATAATGTTTCGATACATAACTCAACGTATTTAAGATATATCGAATGTAAGCCAACCGTAAAATGATAAGAAGAATAAAATGTCCAGCTGATTACAGAGTAGAAGGCCCTTGGTCCGACTTTAGAGCTGATTGAGTACTTAAATGGCAACTAAATAACTCTTTGAATGTAGCTCTCATAGTATTGCGATTTTTTGTATTCTATTTCAAGCAAGAGGAGAGGAGAGGGACTTTCAAGTTGGACTTAAATCGCCGCCAGATACCGGTGAAAGAGGGTGAAAGGAATAATAGGTCACAAAAACTAGTGAAGAAACGTCTGTAACGACTATAAAAAAAGTAAAACCTTGATTGTTACAAGAGAGAACAAGGGTGACTGAAGTTAAACGTTTCAAGAGTTGATAGCAGAACGTTTTCTATTAACAGTATGTTTTCAAAAAAGCAATAACAAACAATATTAAAAAAAAACATTATATAACTTTTTCGAATTTTATTTTTTGGTATTAATATACATTCGACTAAAAAAATTCAGGTATATTGTGTAAGATACACCATAAAATTCTGAAAATTCCCATTTTCTTGAAACTCTTCAAATTTAGCTAAACAAGTCATATGAAAAAAAATTTTAAAGTCAATTCCTACTAGAGTCAACAAAGAAAAATTTTATTTTAGTTACTGCTATTAAATAATTACAGTTAATATAAATATGTATATACATATGACAGAATCACAATATTAAATGGCAAAATCGAAAGCGATTTTCCTTGCAATTCTCGATATTCCTTTCTATATAGGGTATTGGACTACTATTTTTGTTTGTTACTATTTATTCATTAATTAAATTTAATTCTTCCAATAAAGTAGTAAAGTGAAAAGAAATTACATTCTCAGAAAATAGACCATCTCTGGTGGAATTCAAACCCATGACCTTTGGATTAGAAGTCCAACGCGCTACCGTTGTGCCACAGGGACTCAACGAGCGATTGTTCCTTTTATATATGGTGTTGGACTATTATTCTTAACAAAGTGTCATCCACTAAAAGTTTAAAATTTTTTATTTTAACTTGAGTGGACGAATAAAAAGTATTTTATTAACGATGAAAAATTTGAACAAGGTATATATATATATATATTCTTATTTTACTTTATTGTATATATATATATATATATATATATATATATATATATATATATATATATAGTAAGAGTGTGAGCTAATAGTAGGAATTGAAAAATCAAAGACATTTTGAGACTATTTCCCGTCAAAAGTAGAAAATACGCTTTCTTTTTTGGAGTTGAAAGAAAGTTTTTAAATTAAAAGCTTGAAATATATATTAATATTTATAAGTCAAACTTTCAAAGATTTTAATTAAATTTCTGTTAAATAAGAAGTAAATTACTAAGCAAAACTTATCTAGGAAAATGAACATAATTTAGTCGAAAAATGGCTGATAAGAGTATAAGAAGTGTATAAAATTAATAATTAAAGATAATTAAATAAGGCCCAAGCAAAATGTTGGAAGGAGTTTTCCTTCAAGTCAAAGAAAAAAAAATTAAGCTTAAAGTAAGATGGAATGGGGGTGCATTGTTCGGAGTTTATGGTAGTTAAATGAGATTCGACTTCGTAAAATTTTTCTATTCGTATACTTTGCTATGGACATCATAACACCCCCCACATACTTTTTTACTTTATTTTTTAAAACTTTTTTGTTAACTATTGTTAGTAACAGCTTCTGTGTGTGTTTTAAGTGAGTAAAATAAATTCCTATCGAAGAAAATTTAGTATGACTTTCTCAATCTCCTGCATTAAAACTGAAAAAAAAAAACAATGAAAAATTTAAAAACATTAAAAAAATCAATTTATCGGAATAACAGAATATGAGTAGAGAATATATATTATATATAAATTTGTATAGAGATATTTTTTTTCTTACTAGGTAATTTTGATTATTTTATTTATAGAAGCTAGTCATATTGTTTGAATAATGAAAAACAATAAGCTAGTCTAACGCATAAAAGTTAGGAGGGAAGAAAATAAAAGCATCGCATGTGTGTGTGTGTGTGTGATATAAATTAAATGAACAGATGGTTTGGAAATTCTTTAGCTAATTAATGTCCAGACATATAAAGTATAAAATATGATGTTTCAAGCATTTAAATATGATATAAACACTCTATATGTGGACAGTGACCTCTAGTGGACCATTAGAGAAACCGTCAGTCAAGGGGTTGCTGTCGGACTATGAACATCGTGTAAAACCTATGTATGTGTTTTGTAACAGCCCATTTATGGTTGTAACCAGGGCTTTGAACTGAACCGAAAAACGGAAAAAACCGTTATTTTAGTTGGAATGAAAGCCGGAACTGAACCGAAAAAAATATCGGCTTATTTTGGGTTCGATATATCATCAATCATTTTGTTTCTGTAACCAACTTATAAATATTTTTAATTTAACGTCAACCATTTAATTAGGGGCCCAGTGGCCGAGTGGTAGCGCATCGCACCTCCATACCACAGGTTCTATCCTCCGGCTGGGCAAGGTCCACTCAACCTTTCATCTCTTCAGTGGGTCGATAAATGAGGACCAAACTTATTTGGGGACTAAACACTGGGGTTTCGCTTCAGACTGACCACCCGATCGGGACATTTGCTCATGCACCTCAGCGCCCAGTGGTCACGTATACTGAGATGGGCACAGTAAGCCTTGGCCCTCATGGGCTGTTGCGCCACTGAGTAAGTAAAAGTAACCATTTCATTAGCACCATTATGCATGTACATTGCTTCTCGATTTCCTGTTTGAATGTTCACTGGTACTTTCCTTTTCAGTTTCGCATGAAACTACTTGTAGAAGGCAGATTTAATTCAGTTGAATAAACTAGATGATTTTTTAAAGAAAAATATAAATATCAGTTTCACACAGTTATATTTTTCGCATCTTAACATGCGATCGTCCACGGATGTTTGTATAGATTATTTAGATAGATAAATCAGAATCATGAACCTATTTGTCAGATGCGATTTGATAATGGATAACAATGCCAATGCTCGTCGTTCTCTGCTTACCGCTCGTTTCGTACATGCTGGCTAATTGTATCAATTCACATAGTGTGCCAACTAAAAAAAAATCTAAAGTTTGACCGAATGACATTTTTAGTTTGTTATAGTATTATATTTTCAGTGCAAATAAGAATACACATAAAATAAAATTTTTCATTGGGAACTGAACCGATAGATTTTTTTTATAGTTGAACCGGAACAAATACCGGAGCGAAAAAAATTACGTTTCGAAGCCATGGTTGTAACACTAAATCTGATAGTTTCCGTAATTTTTTTCATTGTAGCTCAAAATGTTAATGTTCTTTAATGTTTGTAATTGTTATATTTAGACGTCATATTAAACTCCCTTTAACCAAAGATGTTAGACGTCCGACTGATGGTTGCAGCAACACACTAATAAATTTACGGTAAATTTAAACATTTTTGGAAAGGCAAGTACGAGTAAATTAAAATTAAACAACTGTTACATATATATTTAATTTATATTCTCAACAACACATATCTGAAATATAGAGATTCAAAAACCATCTTTAGATACTTTTTTGAATTCTTTCTTTCAAATATATAAACTACTCCAATCTTTACTCCTAATAGAATTATTCACTCTAATGCTTTAATGTAGGCTCTTAAAACGTTCAGGAAAGAAGCATTACAGTTGAATATAGTTTCAAAAAGAGGTTTCTTCTATTGTTTTTCACCTTTTTGTTCTGTATTTTATCTATGGACAAAACATCTCGGATCTGAAGGAAAAAAGACTTTGTTCTTGGCAAGTCTTACCGAAATTGCTAAGCACTGCAATCAATTCCAAAACTATCTTAGCGAACAACGAACTGATGACATACTGCATAAACAGAATGATGCAGGCGAAAAGAATTATCTTGATTTTATAAAAATTAATGCACTGTGATACAGTTGTAGAGATTTATTGATCCATGATTAAAATTTCCTCACACTTAGCTTTGGAAAAAAAATTTATTACATCTGAAATGTTTGGTAGCTTGAATATTAATATTAGTAATATAAAAGAGCCAACTTAGATTTCATCCTAACAAAAAAGCCTTCCAACAAATGTCACGAAACAGAAAACAATTAATCCTGTACGATACTTTGAGTCAAAACAAAATTTACAGTTTACGTTATACACTAAAAAATATTTTTTCGAAAAATTATCTCAATTTTAATTTGTCACGTTATTTTCAAAAAATTTAAGAAGTTGATAATAATTGCATTTATCAACGGGTTAATAATATATTTGATTAAATATAATACGTATATAACAAAATATAATGAGAAATTTTAAATTAAATCAAGTATTCTTTTTCGTTTCTAATCATATAAAAAGCACTAAAAACATTTTTACATTTTCCAGTTCATAAAAAAAAAAGAAAAAAAAGCTGAACTTATTTCAATATTCGATTTCTTTTCCTAAGATCTTTAATAACCCGAATATCAAAGCTGCAACAGTATTTTTTTTCTTTTACTTTTTATGCTTATAATATCTTCTAAATTAAATTATTACCTTTATTTCCAGCAAAGAAAAAGCTAGATCATATGAAAGTGAAACAATCTAACTATTAAAAAAAAATCTCAAATTTGCAAGTCGGTGAAAAAATCGCAATTAAGAAAACTTTCACGGAAATGTACCAATTGATTTTTAAAGATATGTTTGATTTTTTTATCTGATTCTAAGCCTGTAGGCTTATTCCAGTCATCCGAATCACGATTGAGATTCTAAACGTAAAAAGAGGACACGTCATTTTTTTCAAAGAAATTTAAATCGGTTTCTTGTTATTGTGTGTCTTTAGATTCATATTGAAATGTATCATTAGGTAAGAAAAAAATTCTTACATCTTCCAATGCGTTTCAAACTCATAATTGATATAAGAACCACATTAAAGGCAGATGTATCTGGTGCAAAATCATTAAGTCACAGACGCCTGCCTGTCACATTTTACTATTTAAATCTTGATATAATTGTTTTTACTAATTGTAATTCTGAATATTTATTTGTGGCAACGATTTCATTTAAAATGTTTCTGTAAAGTAGGTTCTTTTTTAATCATGATTTTTAGAGAGAATTCCACTAACTTTGAAATGACAATATTTCTTGATATAGACAAGATAAAAGAGACCCTTTGAAAATTTCATAACTTTTCATTTTATAATGAAATTTCCAGAAAAAATTCCAGCTATTGTTCAATTACTATGATTTTGCTATAAATACACGACTAAAATAGGCGATTAATTATGTAACACTTCTTTCTAAAGAAAATGAAGTCATAGATAGTATTGCTATTTCTGAACACACACACAGTGACTACGTGTGTGTGTGTGTGATTCTCATTATAACACTAAATCATTCACTAATAGCTTTAAGACCTCATCTTTTAAATTAATCTTATTTCAATATATTTGAACCCTTAAGTGTGTTAAAATTGTACATTTTAAATTTTTAAGTGTGTAAAAAAAAGGAAATAAAAATTAGAATTAGAATAAGAAAATAGTGATATTAGACATTAATTATAGAGAATATGAGTCTCTCATTACATGGGACATTAACTTAAGGATCTTAATACTTTTAATGTGGTGTGTCGAATGTTTTTGAGTTGCTTGTATATTAAAAAAAAACCTGTTAATTTTTTTTATTTCACATGCTTTCTGACGAATAAAATATGAAATTAATAGCATTCATCCATTAAAAGTACAATAAAACGCGTTACTACATAGAAATTAACACATGTAATTCGAAGTTATTTTCACAACAGTTTTAGGGGAAAAGGATGATCTAAATATTTCTCCAAGACATTTATTTAAATTAAATTCGAGGGAAAATATACACCGTTAAATAGAATAGTTTTTATTTCATTCATCATTAAAATAGAAACGAAATTAGTCCTGTTCTGAGGAAATTCAG